TATATTAAATATTTTTATTTAAAATATTTATTTAATTAAATACTTAAATCATATGTAAATTATTTAAATTTTAAATATTAATTATTTATTGAATTTAGTTATTCATAAAATCATAATTTATAATATTATTACATAAATTCATTATTAATTTTGTAATATATTAAATTATTATTAATTTCATTATTATGTTTTAAATGTTTTTCTACTTTGAAGAAATTTTTTAAATTTATTACATAATATCGTTATTTTAACTGTTTAAAATCTAGTTATGATAAATATTTAGTTATTTAAATATTTAAATAATCTATAAAATATTTGAAATCTTTTGTTATTTGAATTCTATCTATTTAAAGCTATTACATATTATTAAATATTTAAAAAAACATTTAAATTGATAGTCCAAAAAAACATAATTTAAATTGTTAGCACATAATTTCGTGAGATATTTTGTAAAAATATAAAATTATTTTTTGTGTTTTTAATAAATATTTTAAAGTTATTATATAATTTTGTTAGAATATTTAAATAATTTTTAATTTTTTTAATCTAAACTTTCTTTAGATAGATATAGATAAAAAGTAGGGGAGAGGATAAATAGGAATTAGAAATAATTTAGGAGAGAAACTCTCTACTAAATTAAAGATAACTTTGGAGATAATTTATAAGACAAATAGGAATTAGAGATAATTTATAAGATAAATAGGAATTAGAGATAATTTTGGGAAAAGTAGGGGATAGTGGGGGAGGTAGTTTAGGAGAAATTTTAGGAGAAGAGATTATTTAGGTTATTGGGAAAGTGCATCTCATTGGTTATCTTGAAAATGACATGGAATAAAAGAAATAAATAATTCAAAAAAAGGAAAAAATTTCTTGACCGCTTTGTTTTAATATATATATATATATATATATCTAAAGAATACTACAATTTTATATTATACAAATTTAAGAAAGAAAGTAAAAGAGAAAAGAACAAGGTTGGAGCTGTTTTATTTAATGTAAGAGTATAAAAAAAAGAAGCACCTCTATACTTCTTTTCTTTCTTTCTTTTTCTCTTCTCAAGGCTCTTTGACCTTTTAAATTTCAATAGTAAAATTTTAAAATAATGTATTAATAATATATGTAGTATATAATAAAATGCATTAACACATATTAGTAATTAGTAAGATGTAGTAATATAGAGGATATTTTAATAAGGCACTCACCTTATCATTTTTGTTGCCTACAACACCTTGTCAACTATGGTAATAGTATTTTATTAATCTTAGAGGGAGAGGTTCCCTTTTGCTCAAAACACATACAAAAAATATAGATGTCAGAGTATTTCCTATAAACGAAAGCACAAAGTCGAACTAGGAAATTAACATCAGAAATTATATGCTCCCAATGATTGCAAAAATGTTGACATTTTAGTTCTTCAAGTTCCTCTGTTTTTTTTTTTTTTGATAAGTGGTAAGAAATGTATTGTATTAATAATAAAGAGGGTGAGAAGTCCTCAATCATATCCAAAAAGAAGTCTGCCTTAAACCATGCACAAATGATGTACAATGAAGGCTTTTTATAGAAAAATCGAAAAAAGATGGACCACCAGTGATTAGAGAAAGAGCAGGCAGGCGCATCCACAAAAAACTCCGAGCACCTAGTCCAGCTCACAAGCAACCTCTCCATCTTCCCTAAGATTACCCCCACTGCAACGGATTTAAACTAAAAAATCCTTTGATTGTGTTCCTTCAACACCATCCAAAAAACTGCAAAAGGCAAGCTTTTCCACAGAAAACATCCTTTGTCCAAGCAGCAATTAATCCTCCATCCTGAGATTAAATCAACCACAGCGGAAGGAGGAAACCAAACTAAGTGGAACAGCTTAATGCAATGAAACTAAACCTGATAGGTATAGGGGCAGTGAATCAAAAGATGGTGGATAGATTCAGGTCATGCACCGCACAGGCTACAGGTGGCATCCAGTTCCTTCAAGTTCCTTAGGAAGGCAAGACTGACTAATACATTATGGGTCTTTCAAACTTCCAATTAAGTGTTCCTTGGTCATAGCTTTGTCTTTAAACATCCATCTATTGTGCTCTTAGCAAATCAACCAACAGATAATAAGAGGTACCAGTTGCCATAGGATGTTTCCACAAGGACTGAAATCTTTTCTTTTTTTTTATCAGCATCAACAACAAATTTTATTACTTAGATAAAGAGAAATGTACAAGACAAAGGCAGCCTCAGCTACCACCAAGAAAATACAAAGACAATTTAATATTCAGACTTACAACCGAGCCCAGAAACACACTGCCCTGTTTACCCCTTGCTTTACTAGTTGGTCAGCTAGACCATTTGCAAACCTAGGAGTCCATTGAATTATCAGCTGCATATCCCTTGAGAACCTCTTGAATTGTTTGATTTTGTTTTTAAAAAACCAAGGAGCCTTCTCATTCAGTTTTAGCCAACTTATTACTATTTTGGAGTCACCTTCAACTATTAGCTTTCTTACCCCCATCTCCATAGTTTTCTGCATCCCATAAATCACTGCATTCAGTTCTGCTGTTACAGAATCACACACTCCAATGGGGCCTGAGTACATGTCCATGATCACTCCACTTTCATTTCTTAAAACCCCTCCAATTCCAGACGGACCCAAATTCCCAAAACTATTTCCGTCAAAGTTTAATTTCAGGCATCCTAACTCTGGAGGTTCCCAACCCTTTAGTGCCTTCCACTTGGCTGAAGTTGAGGCTACAATTGTTCTCCAGTTCCTTATTATGTCATCAATAGAGAAAGCTGAAAACAACTCCACTGTCTTTGTCCAGAAAGCTACTTTTGCTATAATCCCTTCAATTAATGCCTCTTTGCTCCTTTTCTTTTCCTCGAATATACGTTTATTTCTCTCTTCCCATAAGATCCAGATTACTGCGGCTCTTGTACACTTCCACATTAGTCTTCCCCTTGTTTTTGGCCAGCTGAAAGTAGAACCATCAAACAACCTGTCCAATCTGTCCAGAGTATTCCACATGCACCCAAAATGAGAGAAAAACCAATCCCATATACCACAAGCAAACGGACAGGAAATGAAAATGTGATAAGCAGATTCACCATTAGATTCACACAAACAGCACCAATTTGGGGAAAGGCACCATCCAGGTCTCTTTCCCTGTAGAATATCACAAGTGTTGATTGCACCATGGAAGACCTCCTAACAAAAAGCACTCACTTTTGGGGGAAATGGATGACACCAAATCTCTTTGGCTGAAAAGGGAACAACTGGTTTAGAAGGCAAAGACAACGACTTGAAAAAGGAAGCACAGCTGAAAACCCCAGAAGGATGGAGAGTCCAAATTCTATCATCTTGTTTATTTAGGTCAAGGAAAACCCCCTCAAGAATGTGTAGTAGGTTAGAAACATGGCCCAGTTCAGTGTCCCTCACATTTCTGCAAAAGCCTAGATTCCACCTGAACCCATTAACCAAAGGAGAAGGGAGCGAAAACTCAGAAATTGGTTTGCCCTTGAGAGCAGATAGGGTGAACAATGAAGGGAAAGAATCCTTCAAAGGGACTTCACCCACCCAAAGATCCTCCTAGAATTTGATTTTGTTACCTGAATTAATATCAAGTCTGATGTGATTGAGAAAAATTGGGAGACATTTCTGAATCGCTTTCCAAGGTGAAGAACAAGAGGCCCTGCTAGAAGTTCCAGCATCCCACCCATTCTCTGAGAGCCTATGAATACTAGCAACCACTTTATGCCATAACCTGTCCAATATAACCAGGAGTAGCAACTACTTATTGAGCATCTTTATACAATGGGGCTACCACTATCAGAATAACAACATTAAACAAGTAGGTGGGAGAGGTTCAGGCTCCAGGAGACAAACACCATAGGTTATTCTCTAGCTGCATTCCTTCATTAGCAGGTTGTCAATGACACTTGAGTTTCTTTTGACCAGATGATAGCAGCTAGTTCTCCAGACCACCTTTCCCCTCTTTCTTAACATGCCTTGAACCATATGACAACAATCTATATTCCTTTTTAGGCACCATAAATCTCCTACACATTTCTTTTGAATGTTTGAGAGCCTTAAGACAACATAATCCTTGGCATATTGGCTGAAAAAATATGACCATAACCATAAGGGTGGAATGGAGAATTTAAAGTGACCTTATCTACTGGAAATTTTTAACTGGCCTTACATACATAGTTCACTTCTCCCCAATTGAACAACAAGAAAATTATCCATGGCACCTGAATCATTTTTCATTGAAACCCAGTTGGTTGAGATCATGTTGGTTCTTTCCAAGATATGAAACCATAAAACTAGGTTGGACATCGAGACTTAATATATTTGTTAAACAATCCATTTATCTTTAATCCAAACAACAATAGGATCATCATTTTTAGTATCTCAGACACCTTTATCCTATCCTTTATCACTGATCAGTCAAGATTAACTTGGTATCCGCTTAGACGATACTGTAAACTAATCAAGCCTTCAAGAGTATCCTTTTGTGTAAAAGGCTTGAATTTGTATTCCTTACTCAAAAACTCATGAGACTATTGAGACAGATAACAAGAATAAGACTAAAAGTCTAAAATCAAATTATAAATCAGCATATTCAAGGAAACTGAGGGTATCACCCACTAAAGAATACAAGGGATAGTTAAGTAAGATAATCAAGTTATGTGAACAAAGGACTGGGATGCTGGCACTATGTTATTAAAAAGATTAAGTGGGTGCAAGTCGAAGGCTCTAACAAGCCAATGGACTAAGAAGAAATTGGATTCTAGGATAATTATAGAAAGTTAGAAACAACCAAAAAAAAGTCCAGATATTTTCCATGAGCAAAGTTGTCACAAATTTTTACAGCAACAATGAAGTATAATGTCAACCAAGTGGATAAATAACAAAAAAAAAAAAAAACTTCAAAGAGATCTCATACTGCAGTCATACATTAAATGTTAATAAATCCTCAGAAACATATACAAGGTAATCATGTAAAGGAAATTACTTGTAGATGCTTTGATTTCGCAGCTTCACCTTCAGCTTCCAAAATAGTCTGCTTTGGTCTAGCACACACCATCATGTGGATAATTAAAAATTAGCAAAACACATCAAGATATTAGGCTCTAAAATATCTAAGACCAAAAAAACAGAACACAATAATCCCCTAAATGTGGAAAGGAATAGATATTTAAGACATAAATGTCTGGAACAAGAAGTTAATTTGCATTATGCTGGAAAGTCCATAAGCCCAATAACAATTTACTAAACTTGTAGAGCACAAACCTGAAAGATTTCAAACGTTCAGAAAAGGCAAGTGCTGTTAGCTCATTGCCACCTAATAAATGTTTGAAAATTGGATGCAATCCCTCACGGGGCAAAACCTTCGCCCTTCTAATGGATTCCTTTGATGGTAAAGGTTTTGTCTTTGAATACAAGCGAAATGCATTATTACAGGTCTTCTGCAAAGTAGCTAGTTCTGTACATGAATCAATGATTTCCCGGACTTTGTCTGAAACAAGATCTAGAACGGTCTGAGGAAAACGCCCATAGACAGTTTCACCATTTGCAATTGCCTGATCAATTTTGGATAACACTCCATTCATGTCTTGAAGAACATCCTCCTCAGTAGGAGCAGGTCTAATTGGTTTTGAAAGGAAGAGATGGAGATCTAAGAGGTATGGCATATCCTCAGATGTGACAAAGGAAAACGCCATACCAGTCCGACCTGCTCGAGCAGCTCGCCCCACTCTATGGACAAAAATTTTAGGTTTCGGAGGGAAATCCCAGTTGACAACATTATCAAGCAATGGAATATCAATGCCTCTCGCAGCAACATCTGTAACAATTAGCAACATTGTCTTTCTTGCCCTAAATTTTGATATATGAATCTTACGAGCATCTTGATCCATATCACCATAGCATACAGATGGCTCAATACCCTCTTCTCTAAAGAGAATATTGAGGAATTCCACATGATGCTTTGTGGAAACAAATATCAATGTCTGCTGATCAGAACCAATTTGCTCCCTGATCAAATACAACAATGCAGCATGCTTCTCTTCCTGCCTTAAGGTGAAAAAGGTAAGCTTCAGGTCAGGGCTAATCTTAGTCTCCAAATCAAGCCGAACAAGTTGTGGGTCTCGAAGTCCAGCCTTAGCAAACTCAGCAAGAGCACTAGGCAGGGTTGCACTGAAGAGCAGGGTCTGACGGATCTCACTCAGTTGTGCAAGGATTTTGTGCAACTGTTCCGCAAACCCCATACCAAATAGACAGTCAGCTTCATCAAACACCACATATTCCACAGTCCGCAAGGACATATCATCAATCTCAGACAGATGATGCATGAGTCTTCCGGGAGTTGCAATTATGATATCAGGATTCTGAGCCAACTCTTCAAACTGGCTCTCCATGCTATCTCCACCAACCAATAAACTAATACGAAGATCTGCATGGGGAAAAATAGGTTATCAATTGACAAGCTACAATATTGTTCTTTTACCCTTTTTTTTATTTTCCTTAAACCAAATATCAAAAGACAAAAGTTTAAAAGCAACTACATATAATGATTTTTTAGAGTCTTCCTGCTTCTATAGATTTGATGAACTGTCGCTATGAAAAACAAAGATTTTACCACTCGAAGGGCCATTCAATAGAATTCTTATGAATGCGTAGTTAAAATTTCCATAGATCCATAGATGGGAATTAAAAGTGTTATCATTCTGTCTCACCTCAGAGGTTTCAAATGAATAAAACAATAATCAGCCTCCAGTGTCACAGATACACAATTTTCTACGGAATTGACCATTAATTACAATGTTCTATATGTGTCTTTTGTGAATGTGTGTGTGCCTTGCACTTTCTATTCACACTCACTTGATTAGCAAAGATTTCTTTTTGATAAATGGTTTATCAGAATTTCCTTAACTATTTTCATGTGAATGAATAGCATATATAAGGAAGAAGCTTTTTCAAAAAAAAAAAAAAATCACCACGGAGACTTGAATATCAAGTAATTCTAGTTCTATTTCAGTGATTTCAAAATCCAAATCCTGTTTTGCGCAAAAGGGCTGTGACTTCACAAAAGTCCAAAACTGACCTGTGAATCGACCAAGCTCCTTCGTGAACTTCAATGTCTGAAGTGCCAAGTCTCTAGTGGGAGAGAGAATAAGAGCCCTAACACCACCTTGAGGGACATGTTGCTTCAACCGCTCAAGCATCGGCACCAGGAATGCTGCCGTCTTTCCGGACCCGGTCCTTGCCATGGCGACGACGTCAGCGCCGGAAAGTATGAGAGGCATCGTCTTCCTCTGTATCGGCGTAGGGACTCGGTAACCCTTGCGCTTGATGCCTCTGTAAACATTAGGGCTCAGACCCAGAGACTCGAATCCTCCTGACTTGGCTTTCTTTTTCTGCTTCTCCTTTCGTTTCAGCTCTGCTTTTGAACTCACATGAAGCATCTCTTCTTCCGCCATGACCTCTATCTCGTGTTTACGCAGCGTAATTGATGACAAAAAACAAAGAAGATGAAGAGAGACGGTGAGACTCCTTTCGTTTTCAGTCGGTCGGTCGAATGGGGAACGCAGAAGTTCAACGAGAACCGGTGAGCTGCAGAAGTTCAAAGAGACCCTTCAGTTTTCGGTCGAATGGAGAAAACCCTATGTGACATTTTGGTACGGCTGTCAATGGGTCGGGTCCAAACCGATCGAGCCGACTTTGATTTCAGATCCGGTACCGACGGGTCAGTTCTCGTTACGGTTTTTGATACATTCTCCACGGTAAATTTCTTAAAAAGTCAATTCTCCTTACTTTTTCCGACAATTTATTAACTCTACCTTTACCATTAACATCCGTTACTATTCCGTTAAAACCCTGTTTAAAATTCTTTTAAAACCCAATATTACCCATACCTCGTCCCAAGTTCATTTTCGAGAGAACGGGAAAAACATTATTCATCATCTCTTTCAACTGTATGCACAGCGGCAACGGTCCAACATCGACCCTATCCACCTCCGGCCAGGTCTCTTTCCCGATCTCTCTCTCCTCTTCCCCATTTCCGTCTTCGAACTCCCTTGTAAAAAAAAAAAAAACAGGAGGGAGGAAAGAAAGGATCAAAAGGTTAGGTTTTGTATCAGCAACAAAGCATTAAAATCCTTTCTTCGTTTAAGGCAGTGAAGGAGAGAGATAGAGGCCTATCTATATTCTAATTTCTTCCTATGCTTTCCTTTCATTTAGAAAAGATTGAGATAACAAGAATCCTCGAGAACCCTTAGTGGGTTTCATAGAGCAGAGAGGAGAGGATGTTGGAGGACAAAGCTCTAATTGGCACAAACTGGAATCGATCAGTCTGGAGAGATTGAATGATCTGAGATTGATGGAAACGACTCTCCTAGTACGGTTTTCGCAGGCGATTCCGGTCTAGTTGCTACATTGAACCCAACCCACCTCACCAAACTTTGCTTTGGATCGTTAATGGAGGATCTGAACCTGAGAAGCGAACCTCTATCTTCAACTTGTAAATCGAGCTTTGGTTCTTCGGCTACTGCTACGAAACAACACCTTCGAGTTTCATTTATACGGAAAAGGGCAACCAACTATGGATTGGCCCACCAGATTGAAAATAACTCTAGCTCTACAACTCAAGCCCAACACAAAAGCTTGTTTGAAAACATGAGCATCGAAGATTCAATGATTCAAGATAAAATAAGTTGAAGCTCGATTTGGGGATGAATTTCTTTAGTTGCTGCTACAAAGTTGAAGTCCAAAGCGCAAGAAAACCCATAAAGCCTCTATCTTATCTCTTGAAACCTGACTACTTGTGTTTGTTGATATTCACCACCGATGGAGAAGTAGGTGACGGAGAAAATCAAATTAGTAAAAAAGATGTTGTTGGGTTATTCAGCAAGAGCCTTCGATGAGGAACAAATTGTTGCTGTTGTTGTTGGGTTAGTCCAGGTTAGAATTGTTGTTGACTAGAAAAATCTCTTTGAGAACCTCCGCATTGATCTACGGAACACTGGTCAAAGAGGGGTGCCGCTGGTTCGCCTCATTTATTTTTGCATTTTGGATCATTGTGCAGCTGCTGAAATTATTGAGTTCGGTGTTTCTTTTCCTTTTTCTCTATTTTATTTTGAAATTTTAGAGAAGAATAAAAGGTAAAATAGTACATTTCTGTTGGCAGACGTTAACCGTAAGGGAAGACTTAGTTAATTATCAAAAACAACAAGGGTAATGTTAGTCAATTTTCAGATCTTAGTCAATTAACTAAACCAGAATAGTTTAAGAAATTTACCCTTATTATTATCGGTTTGGAACCGGTACTGAATCGATTCAGATCCAATTATTATATATTATACATTATATAAATATATTACACAAATTATATAGGGTAGGTATATATATTAATATATTAAATGTATATTATATTAAATAAATTAACATATATATATATATTAAATGTATAATAATTACAGTAGATTTATTTAATTGGGTTCATTGGGTCAGTCCTGATTATCCCAAGAACTAATTGGTTCTGCTCTAGGTCTAAATTTACAAATCCTAACAGGTATAGTTTGGTTCCAATTCCTTAATATTTCTTATCGGGTTAGTTCTAGTTTCTCCTAGACTTAACACATTAACAGCCTTACATTTTGGATATGTACTATTTAAATATCACATAACATATAATTTAATATATATATATATATATATAATAAGTGAACGCATTAAATACATATATATGGACCCGGAATTTGCCAAGAGAAAGTGAAACATTAGAAATTGATAACTATTGTAAGGAAGGAATGCAATGTTGTTTCAAATAATTAACCTTTTACTTTAGTAATTTGTTATAAAAAAATTATTAATTTGGATTAATTATATTAATAATTTTTAACAAAAACAATAAATTGATGCTAATTACTTAATAAAATAATTAGTTTTTTCATATTATTCATTAGTGTTCTATTTTATTTATTTTACATTATTAATGATTAAATGTTCCAATTTTTGTAAATACTACTTATATATTTAAAATACTTAAATATCAGTAAATATATAAATTAGGTTATAGTCATAATTAAATTAATCTATAGATTAACTTTTTTAATCATAATTAAATTAATATAAACCTAAGCTCAAGGTTCAATTTAGGTTCGGCTTGGGTTGATCTTCAACTTGACCCAACCCACCCAAGTTGTAACCCCTAAGAGCAATGTAACATTTGTAATTGGATTGAACCAATCTAAGTACAACCCATGTATATGGGTTTTTAACTACTTTTAAATAATATTGAAGCTGTATGAGTGATGGGGGATAGGCTACCCCCATTGTGCAGCCCAATGAACCAAAAAATAAATAAATAAAAAATCTTGGGCCAGATTTTGATAATGTATTAACAAATTTTAAGATTGCCTAGCCCAACCCAACCCACACCTTAAGTGTAATAATATGTGTTTGGGCCTAGGGCAAGGGTTGGCTTGCTCGTGTTAATTATAAAACTCTATATTTTTTACAAATTAAAATCTTTATTTAATTTTAGTCTATTATAAAGAACATATAAAAATTTAAATCTATGTATTTATTAATATAAAATTTGTTATCTAAATATTATATAATAATATTTACCATATGTGTATATAACTTCCAGGCTAAGCTTAAGGGTTGCTTAGTTTGGACCTTGTCTGTTAGGGATATCATTAGACTCTGAAACTTTGATACCCGATAAGACTTTGAACCCAATTATCCCAGATTTGGATGTTAAAACTTGCATCCAGTTAATAATTGGATTGGATGTAGATTTAACCACATTGAATCCGATTAAAATTCGAATCTAACAAAAATTATTATTTTATGTATATATGTAGTATAATTATGTATGCATATAGATATTATGTATAATTATATAAAATTTATAATTGATAAATTTAATGCTTTATATTTATATACATTTATTATACATATATACTTGGGATTTTTGCATAAAAAATGAGCAATTTTGCTCATTTAGCAAATCCGGTTATCTTTTGAAACTAATAGCAAAATCAATGAGTAGGGCAAAAAGTCTATGTCTTTTGGTCAAACTGCCCTTTATTAAAACCATGCTAATGAGACAAAATCCCCTTTTGTTTTCTCACACTCTTGTCTCTCACTCTCTTCTGTTCTTCTTCTAAAGAGAGTTTCTTACTCAACCAAAGAAGAAGATAGGAAATCTCAACAATCTGAATATGGTGAATAAGCTTCTTCTTCTTCTTCTTCTTCTTCTTCTTCTTCTTCTTCTTCTTCTCTAAGAATGGATGGGAGAGGGCTTTGTTCTATGCTTGAAAACTAAGCAAGGCAATGCAACCCTCTTTCATTATTGCACAAGAAAAAATAAGGGGTGGCTCGGTCCCTGATGCGGCACGATCCGGGCACTCCTAGCTGGCGGCTGACTGGCTCCTTGCTGGCAATGAACAACACCTGAGAAGATGAAGAAGAAGGATTCCCAGGGATTTGCCCGGCGGGAATACTCTGATGCTTAAGTTAGAACGCTGGGGAGGAAGAAGAGATAATACAAAAGGCTAAGAGTGTAGATCGTGCTAGATCACTACGTCTCGAGATTAGCTCGTGAGCAAGTAAGAGTGCAAGCTCAGATCTAATTCCGAGAGAGAGTTAGTCTCTCCGCTTTAAGGGCTTTTATAGGGGCGTTCTTGTCAAATCAGGTGTAACCGCCACTGGGCTCCCGTCGCAGCCGTTACCTGCCAGGGCTGCGCAGGTGATCGTTACAACGTACTGCCTGCTCGGCTGAGTGACACGTCTCCGAAGGGACAGGCACGCCACCATCTGTCGAGAGACGTGGGGCAGACTGTCAGTCGGGCAGGGACTGCGCCGTCAGTCGAGAGACGTGGCACAGTCTGATGAGTACGGTCTTGTCAGATGGAAGCTTCCTGAGAGCGTTGCGTCACAGTCGCAAGTTACTTCGTAGCGGGCTATCCTTGTTGCGAGCTACTTTGTAGCAAGCTCTTAGGGGTACTTCGAGGTGACCCTCATCAAGGTTGGTCTTTGGGGCAGTTCTTCTGCCCATGTGCTGAGTGAGTTGGTTTCCCTAGCTTGCGAGCTGAAATAATCTTGGAGTATTCCCTTCTTAGTAGCTCGGGGGATCTGGAGTTCGCACCATAGCGAGCTCCCCCTATAGAGAGCTATGACGTAGCGAGCTATTCTACATGCTTGTTACTTGGTCGCGGTCAAGCCAGTCTGCTGAGCTGTTGCTCGTGCTGAGTCAGGTCCACGTGTCATCATCTCAGTAGGTCGGGTCAAATCATCCTCCATCAATTGCCCCCCACTCCTCGAGCTAAGAGCGTTTCCTTAGCGCGAGGAGTTCATGGAGTGTGACAGATTGATTTGACCGAAGCTCAAACTTGATTGACTGCTCATATTAAATGCCTACGCGGGAATCAGGGGATTTTCTGACTTCGAATACCGAAAATGTGTTGAAGCGGCTCTTAACTCCGAATGTCGTGCAACCGTCACTACCCCAATCATGGGATACTTGTAGCCAGTCACATTTCGTTTCAGAAGGCGTGCGGTCAATTTGACTGCGAGCTGTCAGATCTGCTTCGATCTGGGCCGTTGATTCAGGGGTACAGTGACTATAAATAGGAGGACCCCTCATTCCCTTCCATGCCATTTTGCTGCCTTCGGATTCTGAGGTCGTGCATTCGTCTAGTCTGCCCGAGTTTCTCAATTTACTCCGTTTCGTCTTCTCTAGTGAGTCCCAATCACTGCCAACCATGTTTGGGTACCCATACCACACCTACCATTGGGGCGATAATCAGGATGACGATGCTCCCTCGAGCTCAGGGGGAGCTTGGGAGCAGGTCCTGGAGGCTCGGGAGACCTCCGATGATGTAGCATCTACTTCCCGGGGGAGGGAGCCTGACACCTTCGGCCCTTCCTCCATGATGGCGGAGAGACTCAGGTCTCTAATCCGCTATTTTCACCTCCCTAAGGACCTGGTCTACAGCATCCCCACTGGCAACTTCCCTTGGGAGCATGGTCCCAATGACATAGTTATCTTCTAGGAACAACTTGAGGTTGGCCTGTGTCTCCCTTTGCACCCCTTAATAGTGAAGGTGCTAAACCATTTTAACATCACCATCGATCAGCTCCATCCCAACGCTCTTCGGAACATGGTTGGGATTATATCTTTGTGTTATGAGTATTGTCTTCCTTTGGACCTTGACATCTTTGCCTCCATTTTTTGTATAAAAAATGCCACTCCTGGGGTTCCACCGGAGAGGCGCTTTTACTACCTCTCTCCCCGCCGCGGCTATAAGCTCTTGCATGAGCTACCGAATAAGATTCCCACCTGGAAGCGAGATTATTTCGTGGTTCGTAACCCCGAGGGGTGGCCCTTCCCCACTTCTTGGAGGGGCGCCATCCAGGACCCCAGGGCCGAGCTAGACCCCGAAACTCAGAAAATGATGCTGTCCTGGGCATCGGTAGGCTTCCTCTGTTCGGACTACTTGACCGAGGAGAAGCTCGTGCAGGCCAGCCTGAGTCCGGGCAAGTTGTTCTTTTAAGTCGCGTAGTGTCTTGTAGTACTATTGCGTGTATACATGTACTATGTTCTTTACCGAACTAATATCTTGTGGTTTCTTTTTAGGCAACCATCATGTCTGGAGTTGATTCACGCTGCCTCCTTTCGAGCAACCAGAGGCGCAAAGTGAAGAGGTCGCGCCCCGACCAGACTCCCCCCTCTGGGGGTACCGAGTTCGGGTCTGCTGAGCTAGGCTTCACCTCTCCGCCGCTCGAAGTTCCGCCACCCCCTTCCGAAGGAGGTGCTGGCGGTGCCAGCCTCGAGGAGGGTGAGCTCCCGTAGCAAGGGGTGGTCCCTCCAGGTCCTTCTCAGTTGTTTCCCTACCCACGGTTCCCCGTGGGGAACTGGGAGGGCGTGAATGACTTCGTCGTGGCTCGTCGGAGGAGCCGGAGAGCGATCTGCAACAAAGAGGTCGCTAAGTGGGGGGCAATGGAACCTGGGGATCTTGCCGCGCTCGCCGCCTCTCA